GCCATCCAGTATTATGCCACATGTTCCACTATTCCACTAATTTATTCATTTGTCCCATAAATACTGATGGTTCATCTGTGGTACCAGGCATCCCTCCAGGAAAGAGGGGTACACAGAACAGATGGAATCCAGGTTTCCATGGAACTCACGTTCTTCTTGGGGGACACAGCAGATCTAGAACTATCCCGTAAATGAATAAATAAGATGCTTCTAGATTGAGACAGAGGGAGATTCGGAGAGACAGAAAGTACTCTGGTTTGGGTGGCAAGGAAGAATTCACTGAGAAGGTGACATCTATGCTGAGACTCAATGTCAGAAAGGAGACAGCCACACAAAGCTCTAAGAGAAGAGCATGCCAGGTAGAATGAGCAGCAAGCTTGTTGAATGAAAAGCTCTATTGGATTAAAGAGCCATGAACACATTGGCTTACAAAGTAAAGGTTTCTATTTCTAAATAGGGAATAGGAACCCAGGACTCACTGGCTTCAGTGACATTCTAATTTCCAAAGGCTGGCACATCTTTGTCACCCTGCCTAGGGTCCTCACTCTCTGGCTCTCCACTTGCCTGCCATGAAGGGTACCATCTTACAACCTTCCACTGCTAGACATCACAGTTCTCAGTATGCCCTCGAGCTAGCGTTCTTATCCTGAGCTCCATGAATGGGCTTTTAGAATTGCATGCAAAATTTCTACAGATGCTCATTTTTCAGGACAAAGATTATATATTATAGTTTTCTCAAAATCATCTTTAGTCTCCAAAAAGGACAAAATCAACTTGCTTACATCAAGAGTGAGAGATGATCTTCTATTCTGAGAAAGACCATGACTGCTTTATCCTATTAATATAAATTAGGGGTATGGTTTTGCAAAACATGAAGCAAAACAAGAACACCACCACCAGAACATCCATACAATCAGAATGACACTGGAGTATAGGGCAAGTGAAAACAAAATGGACCAAATGAAAAAACGGAGCCTGTTGAGCTTCATTCAACAACCTTCAAACACACTTTATTGAGAATGGACATGTCAGAAACTGTCCTAGATGTGCATTCAAGATGAATAAATCCTTGCTCTCCGAGAGCTAATGGATTATCAGAGGCAGAAACAAGGCCAATGTAATACAGTCCAAGGGACAGTGTAAACAAAGCTTGGAAGCCAAGAAAAGAGAATCTGAGAATCTAGAAAAGACGTTATTTAATGGAGTTCTTAAAGAAATAAACATTTCATCAGATTTGGTGAACAGAGGTAGTATATAGAGAATATGTTTCAGACGGGAAATAATATAGATAAAGGCACAAAGACATTAAATGAAGAAAAAATCAATCATTCATTCCAAGAAGGGGGTGAGGCTTGATGAGGAAACCGAGGAGGAGGAGAGGCTCAGACCCGCCAGGGTGCCAACACCACGCTACTTCCTTCTAAACAAGAGCTGACATGTGCTCACTTCCAGGTGGGTGGAAAATGT